TTCTATTTTTACTCTATATCTTCCCAATTACTCCATTGACTTCAATTTCAAATAACTTCAGTTCTTCTCCTCATTTCTTTTCTGAGCTCTTGTATTCCCTGGCCTGTGGGACAACTTCACAAGCATCTCACTCTAAAGATGCACTAAACTGATCTCATCTCCCTTGTCCACTCTCATATCGGTCCTTCCTCAAGTGTTCCCTATCTCAGTAAGTGATTCCTACCCAACCAGTTGTTTAAATCAGACGTTTCTTTAATTTTTCCATGATTTTTCTCACTACTCCTTACATTCCACATCTTATCAATGAGCATAATCCATCAATTCTATTTTTACATAATCTCTGCATGTGTCTCCTTCTTAGTCATACAGGTCCAGATCCCCATCATTCTCCCCAGCCTCCAGAGTGGGCTTCCTGCCTTCATTCTTGCCTCACTGTAATTTTTTTTTTTACAGTAGCCAGAGTGATTTTTTTAATATAGAAATCTGATACTGTCATTACTAGGTTTATGACACTTCAATGGTTTCTCTCATAGCCATTAGGACCATAAACTCCCAAACAACACTTCTTTCTTATTCTGGCCTCTGCTCAACTTTCCACCCTTATCTCTGACCACCTCTCTCTGCTTTGGCCACTGTGTGTGCACAGCATCCTCTGCTGTTTCTGTGACCCTGCACGTGCATTGCTTCTACTTGGGACACTCCTGGTAATTCTTCAGGTCTTGCATTAGACGCCATATCTTCTGAGAAAAACTTTCCCTAATTCCTTTAAGGCAAGATTAACTGTTCCTTTTATTTCCCCCTGCATTCTTTCCAAACTTTTATATTTGTTCTTTTGTGCAGTTTAATAATTGCTCTGTTTAATTGTCAGTATTCCCTCACAGACAGTAAGCACCATGTGGACAGAAAACATTTCATCAAAATATACCCTAGTCTTCCACAATCCAGAGCACAGAGTAGAGGCTTAGGAAATATTTGGTAATGAAAATATAAGAAGTGGTGAGTGATTGCCTGAAGAATAGAGATTGTTATTGGAGCAATATTCTGTAGATTATTGGGTTGAGAGCAAATAGACAGAGGCCTTAGACTTAGAAACAAGGAGATGTCAGTTTTTCTACAGAAAGGAAGAAAATAAAAATTGGGGAGTGAAGGAAGGAAAAGAAAGGAGTTCTTACTAAATGGCCTTGGTCTTATCAGTATATAAGAAGTCCATCTTTGGAGAGTAAAGTGAGAGATAGTACAGTAGTTGATTTGAAAACAATCAGAATGATTTAAACAGTTGCTAATAATAAATCTATAGTGAGCCACTAAAAGTAAATATAATAATTCCTTAGGAACACTAGGATTCTTATTTAGGATAAATAGCTTGAATTTATATCACATCCATTTACTATGATTATATGATTTTCTTCATCTTTGCTTAGGTTTAGGGGCAAAGGGAAAAAGGTTCTGGGGTTTTACAAGGCAGGAACAGTGGAGGTTCAGAAGGCCAAGAGCTTCTAGGATGATAGGGAAGATGATTAGGATGACTGATTAGAATGTTCAGATTGAGTAAAGAGGGAAATTCACCAGTGAGGGGAAGAATAGACTGAGAGAAGAAGAGAGAGGGGTGAGAGGACAACATTTAACAAGGAAGGGGAAGGCAAAATTTGGGAGATTGAAGAAGTAGAAAATGAGTAGTGAGCAGAAGTTTTGATAAAAGAGAAGATTTTCTAAATTTGAAAGAAGAATGGCTCCTTTTAAATGTTTGGAGAGATCAACTAGAGACCTATTTTACTTTGAAATAGGAATGAATGTTTTTCCAAGTATTAGATATAACCTAAATTTCTTGAAGACAAGTTACATTAAATTGACATTGTTTTTCTTTGATAGTCTCTTTTTCTCTTTTAATACATTTGGCTCTTATTTACCGTATATAATTTTATTTTGGGGCTATATCTGAAACTATGTCAAACTGTTAACTCACCTACAAAATCCTCCATGCCTATACTATCAAATATTGAAGGAGAGACTAGGATTGAAGGCCCTGTCAACAATGAATATACTTGATAACTTGCTTGAAGTATTTCCCACTTGAGTCCACATTTGTAAGATGATAATTACCCTCAAGTATTTTACAGAGGGAAACGTGATGTTTGATAACACCTTCTCTCATGCCCACACACCAAGTTAAGAGAATATCTATATGTGTAAAATATTGTTTGCTTTGTTGTCATTTTTGTGCTTATAACATCACTTTGCTAGATTGTAGCTTTCTGAGAACAAGGGGTATATATTATTCATTTTGTTTTCTACATGGTGTCTTGCATGTATTTGTGATGAAATAAATGGTAGTTGGATTTAATTACTTGAAATTCTTTAAGTTATTCAAGTGTTTATATGAACAACTACACTAATTTGGGAGGTAATATTAGGCCAACTTCTCCTCCATTGCCCCAGTATTAGAGTTGAAGAATGTATGATTTTTCGTTTTTAATTCTGTAGCTGGATTATAATGAGATCCCAAATTTAGCATATGATTGAGGCTTCCTTTCAGTATCATCATGATGATAATAATATAATACATTTGTTAATGTTTTACAGTGTTGTTTCACATGCGCTGTTTAAAGTATTTGTTTTTACATGAACTATTTATGACAGACAAGGTGAATAGAACCCAATTTAAAATAACTCAATTTGAAATAAACCCAACTTGAAAATTAGGCATGTGAGATTAGAGAAATAAGAGTCTTGCCAAAAGGTCACAAAAGTTGCAAGTGACTGAACTGAGTTCTTTCACATGTGGGTTTGTGTTATTATCTGCGTGTGCATGCACACACACATACACATGCTGCATTTATAGGAGCCTTACTTTGTCAGTGGGGTAATAATTCTTTGGTTTGTAACATCATAATTCCTACCATGTCACGTTAATTATTCTGCTCACCATTCATCATGACACAAACACATATATACAAATATATTTATGTATGAACAGGTAAAAATTTATGAAGAAAAATAAGCTTTGCAACAATTATTAAGGTTAAAGCAATGTATTATTTTCTGTATCTTTAAAAAATTCTGGTGCTAAGTAATTCCAATGTTTAAGTTATTATTCTCCTACACTTACTCCACTGGCACAGTGAACTTTAAATATGAATAGGTACTATTTTATGTTTTACATTACTTACAGTCTGTATGATTTGCCTGAGAAGGATAGTGGAGTGCAGCTCTGTGAATTATACCAAGTGCATGGTCCCAGAGCAAATGTTAAAAGAAGGTTACAAGCATAGACCACATGATAACGATGATTATCCACAGGTGTAAAGATTAGGACTCAATAACGTGGATAAAGCTAGTTTCAGGGTTCTGATCTTTTTTCTGGTCTCTTAAGTATAGTGCTGACCTGTGTGTGTACATTTCATGGTTAACTTGATAACATAATGCACCATGGGAGTAAAAGTAGATTATTGTATGAATTTAAATACCTGCAATGTCCTAAGTGTTTTCACTGAGGTAAACTCAGCTTCTTAGTATATTACATGTCAAAGCCATGAAACTATTAAATATTTTTATATGGTTTGTTTGAGCCACAACCATATCAAGCCAGGTATTTACAGAAGTATTTTTTGAGGTGGGGCTCTAAACATTGCTGATACACCTTCTGTATGGTCTAGGCAGTTTTCTTTTTTCCTTTTTTCTTTCCTTCCCTCTTTGCACAGATATTCATTGAATGCCTACTGTGTTTTAAGTTCTAGGATCATAGCATCAAACAAAACATGCCAAGTCCCTTTTGTCAAGGAACTTATATTCCATTGAGGTGGGGAGGGAGACAGACAATAAGCAAATGAAGGTTAGATAGAGACAGAGAGATGTATAATAGCAGGTGTTTAATAGTGTTAGGAAGAAAAATAATGCATGAAAATAGATAAAGAATCACCAGGAGTTAGGATTTCGGGGTTTTAAATAGACTAGTCAACAAAGATCTCTATTTGAAGAAAGACCCGAATAAAAGTAAAAATTCAGTCTTTAGGGTATACGAAGGCAGAGAGTTGCAAATGCAGGAAAAGTATGAGGCAGGACTGAGAATGTTTGACTGAGAACCAGGAAGAGGGTTAGTATGGCTAGCTAGGAGTAAGTTAGGGAAGAAAGGGTAGGTAGAAGAAAAGGCATGTGAGGTAGCAGGGGCCAGATCATAAATGGCTTCTGGTCACTGGGAGGATATTTCATTGTGAGAGATTTGGAAAGATATAGGGGGGTTTAGAGAGGCGAGTGACATATCAGAGGTTCACTCCAGCTGTTGTGTGGAGAAATAGACCCAAGTCGGTAAGGTAGCAACAAGGAGACCGTTAGGGTCTATTGTTGGCAATCAGTGGTCTGGGAGAGACTGGTAGTAAAGGATGTGGTAAGAAATGGTGATGAGTAAGAATGTGCTGATAGATGGAATGTGGGATGTGAGAGACAGAGAGGACTCAAGGGTGGCTCCAGGGTTTTTGGCTTGAGTACCTAGTAAATGATGTTGTCATTTACTAAGATGGGAAACAACATGAAAGGATTTTTTTTTTTTATGTTGTTGTTTTATATGGATCTCATTCTCCCCTCCCAGCCAGTCTTTGGTGGAAACTGAAATAGACCAATTGATAGTTTGATTTAAACTATTTTATGTTTGAAAGGAAGAATAATAATGGTGACGGCAATAGGTAATATTTAATAGCACTTACAGTTTGTAAAATATTTTAATATCCAGTAATGCATTTGCATTATGTGATCATACTAAGGATTTCCTCACCTACTCCTAACTTTCCAGAAAAAATTAATGATTTTTTTCTGAAGTATAAAGTGAATTGAAACATACTTTAAAATGCATAAAGAACAGTTCACATGTACTGAAAAAAGTGAACTAAGGAAAGATTAGTTCTTGAAATATGTCAAACAGGAGTTAAGAGAAGGTGAAAATGGACTGTAATGAATGGTATTATTTATCCAACTGTGAATTAATATATGTGCTATAATTTGTCTCTCAGATCCAAGGTTCATTAGTGCCCACCTCATCCCAGAGAGTGACAACCCTGAAGATGACAAAGTATATTTTTTCTTCCGTGAAAATGCGATAGATGGAGAACACACTGGAAAAGCCACTCATGCTAGAATAGGTCAGATATGCAAGGTGAGGTAAAGAAAAAAATTGAAAGGATATCGTTGTCCAATCACAATTTTATTTCTTTTTCTTTTCCACCTATGTGCAAATACAATGAAAACTATAGCTAAAAAACTTGACTGATCACTGTAAATATTTAGGTGATAAAAAATGATTGAAAACATATTATATTTGCTTATGAGTAACTTATATAGTTAACCATGCAGGTAGAGGTTGTGAGGCATTATTTCACAATTACATTAAATTCTAGAGAAATAAAATTTTTTCATATCACCTGGGAGAATATACTTTTTTGTATTCTCAGACCTAGCATAATTTTCTACAATGTGTCCATTTTGAGTGAATCTGTGTTGTTGGAATAACTGAAGTATTAATATAAGAAAGAAAAGCATTAAAGCTTATTTTTATAAATTGATTATAGCATCCTACATACACGTACATGCACACGCACACACATATAATTTTGAAGCTCTGAACTTTATCCATATGAGCTAATTCATTTACTGTGTGGCACAAAATCGGATGTAATATTGCATTACAGTGTTAGATATATAGAATAAAAAATTGCTCACTAAGGACTTATAGATTAATTAGTATCAGTGTGAAGATCTGATAGCACTACTCTTCCTTGCCTCTACACTGTATAGTGCAGTATATAGGCAATATGAATAAAGCCAACTGTTATATGTTAAAGCACCTTTCATCTCAAGGAAATCATAAAGTCAGATCTAATAATTGTTTTAAAATGGAATTCTTTCTTTTTAAGAATATCATGAAATTTAAAAAATCTGTTTTTTGGGGGGTAGCCTCTTTTCTACTCCAGTTATGATCTAATTATTTATCTCTAGTATATTAAAGTACTGGAAAATCAAAAGTTTTAACTATCTGGAAACATACAAATAATATATAAAATATATGAGCCTCTTTTCTCTGCAAAATATAGATCATATTTAAAAGCACTACTTATAAGGATTAAAAAACATCTTTATAGTATATAAAGTCATATAAACAAAATGTAAAATGGTGTTATATTTTTGAAGGAACATTTATATTCCTTCAAACATATGTGCATAATATAAATACTGTTTATTTTAAAAGACTATATGTTACCAGTGAATACATACCATCATACTAGAATGTATTGCTACATTTGGTTAAAATTCTGTTTCATTTTCAGTGAGGGGACACTTTTTCAAAATGTTTTCTCTGGAGTAAGTTTCCTTTATTAAAGTTTATGCAGATATTTTTTCAAAATGCCATTTGTAAAGTCAGAATTGCATCAACTGTAAGCTTATAAAATATTCAGTGCTAACATGCTTTTATTTGGGATGTATTTTCCGTAAGAATTATAAGGCATGCATTTATTCTTCCACTCAATAAATACTCATTAACTGCCTATTGTGTGCTAATGTGTTCACTACTGTGAACCACCCTGCTTAGGTGAGTAAGATCGCAAGAAATACACATATAGGATGGAGAAAGTTAAGCCAGACCAAAACAAACACAACAGTAATAGTTGCTCATTGCAGAGTGGTGACAGATGGAAAAAGCAAAGTAACTTTTTAATGCTAAGGGACATTTATTATAAGTCATTCCTTGAATAAAGTTTGAGTAAATAGATATTTAACAATGTAATGAAAAAGCATAGTTACTTGTATCTAGTCATTTAAAACTCCTCATTACTCATTTTGAAAAATGGGGAATTGTATTTTATCTTTATTGTATTTTGTTATCTTAAGATTTGAAGGTAAGAAAAATATTTGAAATCATCATCATGCACAGTTTCTAAAACCAGTGTTCTCTCCTTTCAGAATGACTTCGGGGGGCACAGAAGTCTGGTGAATAAATGGACAACATTTCTCAAAGCTCGTCTGATTTGCTCAGTGCCAGGCCCAAATGGCATCGACACTCATTTTGATGAATTGCGTAAGTAGCTGATGTTGCACGGAGAATATTTGTTCAGACTTTGCCATAACCATCAAAAATGCAACTTTCCTCAATTTTGTTTTCAAACAGAGGATGTATTCCTAATGAATTCTAAAGATCCAAAAAATCCAATTGTATATGGAGTGTTTACAACTTCCAGGTAAACAACTTTTTACTAACTTATTATCCTAGAAACTTCATGTCCTTTATGTGTTTTCCAAGAATCCATAATTTGTGAAAATATATTTTTGAAAGAACAATGTTGACTTAACCTTTGAGCAGTTGTGCATTCTTGGGTGGCTGAAATAAGTTATGACCTAAATAGTGTTTTTAAAATAAATTTTAGTAAAGAATATCATCCCTATAAATAGAATGGTGAAAACCATGTCATGTCCTATGTATGTATAGATTTGACTTTAAAAATTTGAGTGAAATGTTGAGCATTATAAAAATGGAAATCTGAGTTTTGATAAGTTTATAGTGATATAAACTATACTAGGGTGAAAAAAGTTTTCCCCTCTTCTCTCCGTTCTCTTCTCCTTCTTCCTCCCCACCTTCTCTTCCTCCCTCACTCTCTCTCCCTTCCCCTCCTTCTCTCTTCCTTCCCCCTCTCCTCCCCCTCCTCCTTTCCCCTTTCCCCATCTCCTACAAGGTTTTTGTTGTCAATCAAGCAGCAATTATCTCTTGACTATTACATTCAGTACAGAGTTTACATTACATTGAGTTGTTAAAAGAAACATATATTTACATGCATATAAATAGGGATATGCATTCAGATAAGGAGAAAATGTTCAAAAGAAAAATAAGTCAGAATCAAAAGTCCAGAAAAGTGCTGCAATTGACTGTGATATCATAAAGAGAAAGATTAACTGCATGTCCAACACTGATCTGTTCTGTAAATATTAAAGCCATTACAAATTGATTGGATATTTTACTTAATAATTTTAAAAATAACATGCAAAAATTCAGAAACCCATATTACTAAAACTATATGCAGTTTCCCATACCTAATTATTTATCCCCTTTGGTATAAAAACAAAATGACAATAAAATAAAGAATGTGAGAGGCTCAAATTAAACAAACATTAATCTGTTTGCTCTGCTTCCTCATTGCTCAGTACGGTGGTTCTCAGACTTGAGCGTGCATCAGAATCACCTAGAGAGCATGTTAAAATACAGATTGCTATTCCTCACACCCAGAGTTTCTGATTCAGTAGGAATGGGATGGGGCCTAAGAATTTGTACTTCTAACAAATCCCCAGGTGATGCCCATGCTGTTGGTCTAGGGACCACACTTTAAGAATGGCTGGCTTAATCGGTAAAATAATTTTCTCTCTCTACTTCAGTGAGGTGGATGTCTGTGAGTTAGTCTTAACAGTTGTGAATCATAATAAAGCCTTTCAATGATGGCTGATTTCATCAATAGATACGCAAAGTCTATAACAATGAAAAAGATACATATAAACTTTACAAACCATGATGTAGCAAATACGTGTCAATTTGCCACGCTATTATGAAAATAATTTTATTAAATTCTATAAATATTTACTGAGATTTACTGTATGTCAAGTGCAACATGTAATTGATGTTACAGAAAAGAAGCCAGGCATGGTTTCTTCCCTCATGTAGCTTAACGCTCTACCAGACATTGTCTATATGCAGTAGTTTCCGATAATAAACTCTTATGAACACGTGTTTTTCCTTTGGTCTGATTTATATGTAATTTTCTATGGAGAGAGATTGGTTAAAAGATAAGCATTCCATATCTAACTGTGCACAAGTGTTTTATATCTTTATATATATACATCCCTCAAGCTGTATCTATATAAGCAAAATAAAATGGAAAATTGTGGCAGTTCATGGCAAACTTCCCGTTTGCTTCAGTTACGTGATTTTTTCTAGCAAAATGTTGGGGATAATTGCTATAATACTCCACTTTGACTAGAGTTTAATAGCTACTAACTTAAGACAATTTTCTGCTTTAGGAAGAGATGATTTTAAATGCCTTCTACAAATCAAACTCTGTTACTTGATCTAATACTTTTGGTTTGGGAATTAAAAATAATATAATGTAACACATCATTTGACATTGACTATTCATTTTCTGCAGTGCTTTCAACATATAAAATGACTTTTTAGACATTCTTGCTTGTTTAAAAGTTCCCTAGTTTCAGTAATATGTTTGAGGCTTAACCTATTACCAAAGTTTATATTTTCATTTCTATACGATATCAAAATTAAACATTACTTTTTAGAAGATCATGTGTATGTGTTTTTCATATCAAAGTTTATGTATGATATGAATATATATATTCTAGGAATACTAAAGACAGTTTCATCCATGTCTTCTATTTTTGAGAAATCGTAATGCTTTCTTTTGTAGATTGTTAAAATATATACATGCAACTAAAAAAAAAATCCCAAACACTATTTGAGATTGCTAAGAATTTATGTTCATGTTTTGATAATTGATATCTGAAGTTTAAGAACGAAGTATTGACAGTTCTCTTGCCATTGTATAAAGATGAAAGTCTGTTTTTGTTCTGTCTCTCTCTTTTAGTAACATCTTCAAGGGGTCAGCTGTGTGTATGTATAGCATGAGTGATGTGAGAAGGGTGTTCCTTGGTCCGTATGCTCACAGGGATGGTCCCAACTATCAGTGGGTACCTTATCAAGGAAGAGTCCCCTACCCACGACCAGGAACTGTAAGTGGCCTATGTGTTTAAAATAGAAAATGAATAAATTTCTGCTGAAGGTTTAAAAAAAATCAGCTACAAAAAATATTAAATACAGATAATGTAAAACAAAGATTCCAAGACTATAAATGAAAGCAATGCAAGGATTTTCTGTGATACCATGGAATTCCACATTTAAAAACATGTTTTTTACGGACTTTTGGTGTTCAAGTTCAGTGCTTATCAGTTATTAAGCACTCAGTTATTAATACTCAGAATTTTTGAGAAACAGAAAGTGATTGGGTAGCCTTATTTATTTTCTTTTCTGCATGGGATGTAGTGAAAATGGCCTTCATGGAGAGTTGAAACAAGATACACCTGGACTTGTTCTCTCTGATCGTAGTGAAGGCTCAAGGATTGCACATTAAATACAAGAAAAAAAAAATTTTCGTCGATGTTATCTTCCCATGGAAATGGGACAGATCCCTCACTGCTTGATATGTGAAAGAAGATATGTGAAAAAAACCTGAGAGAAAGAGCAGGGCCTAGATATTTTAACAGACATTGTCTACTCTCACCAACCTCTCCCTTTTCCCTCCAGCAACCCTGGGCACATTCAGGCTTAAAAAAATTGGACAGAAATCAAAATAAAACCAGCTTTGAATCTGTAATTTAAAATAGGGAGAAAAAAGGAAGAGACTTCGATATGGTATAAAATTAGTAAAGTCATCATCAATATGATCTCAGAAGTAACAGAGTATGTGGATAGAACCATCCACTTATGTGCATCGTTTTCGAATCCTGAGAATCTTGAAGGAAATTATTTCATATGATGAAAAAACTTGCATTTGAAGTTTAGCCATTACTTTAATTTCACTTCAGTTTTTTTTATTCTGTTAAATTCAAGTAAATTATGTTTTTATATGATTTTGTTAGGTTGCTTTTAATATTCTTGTTTTTTCTGTATTGCTAAAGTTATGTATGAGCAAATTGAAAATTTTACATTTTACAAATATTACTTCTAGCTGATGGATCTTGTAGATAAAAAAACCTAAGTTAGCTTTCCGAAGAATAAATGAACAAGATAGGATATCTCTTGATTATATGAAGTCAAATGGGTTTTATAAGAGGCATAAGGTATTTACTCCATTTCTTAATGGTAAACTGTTTTTACTTTGTTGGTGGACAGTTTTATATACCTATGGCTGTTTATATCTATTGCTAATTAATGCAAGTGTATTCTAAATATAAACTGACTCTTTCTAGGTTCTCTTCAACAGACTTGGTGAAATTCCTTCAGTGTGCTAGATATTGTGCTACTATTTGGAGCTACAAAGTTTTTTATCTAAAGATGTGTCCAATATATTTGGAATTAATAATGGAAATTAGAAATTATTGTGTCCCAAAACTTGTTCTAAGAGATTTATACCTATTTATATATATTACACTTAATAGTCCAGTTATTGTTCCCACTTCACAGATGAGGACTCTGAGGCAAGGAGAGAAGCCAGGATTCAGTCCAGGAAGTTTGGTTCTAGAGCCTATGTTCTCACCTGTTATTCATAGAGAGTTGTTATAACAGGGGAAATTAAGTCAGCACTATGCACCCCACGCTGGAGGCAGAAGGCAGAAGGTATTTCCTAATCTAGGAATTAAGGAGGGGCTGCTAGGAGGAGATGACACCTAACTCCGTGAAAAAAATTCACTTGGATGAGTTCGTTAATCCCAAAAGATGGCCGTTGAGAATATGTCATTCCATCAACACTACTGGAGAAAAACATATTAAGTGACCTTCAAACAATGTGGCAGTAGAATGACATTTTCTTTATTTTTAAAGAAAAACCTACAGCTGAGTAATACTAGACACAAAAATAAAAGGATAGTAAGGCAAGAGAATGAAACAAATTGTAACATAAAAATTTAAAATAAATAAATCCCTCACTTTAATTTTCAATCACATATTTCTAAATTTTTGCAAGCCATTTTTAAATGCTAGTAGAAAAGCAAAAAAAAAAGTTTTAAATGTAAAAATATTTTATTGTTTCTTCTAGGAAATTATATAAATATTTGATATTTCTGTTACATTAAATAAGTAATTTTATAATTAAACAAAAAGCAATTCCTTAAATCTTTTAACTGTTATATTAGTGTATTATTGTGTGTGTGTATGTATACAACATATGTATACATTCATGTATATTCATAGATAGATACTCTTCCCATTTCAAAACAGGTTTATTTATTTCATTTCTCATGAATTATTAATGATCTATATCAAGATAATGGCAAAGACAATTGATTTCTCCTTCTAAGCCTCTTGTAAGATCAAGAACCTCTCTTAATAACATTTCAGCTCTCGAGCTCTTACATTAAATGGCAGAGATTACTTAAGTGTAAAACAAAAAGCAAGAGACTGATGATATTGTACTCTGAATGCTTGTACCACATAATTAAATGCAATGAAAAGAGACACAGTGAAATCTGAATTTTCTCATTTTTGTTTTATTGCCTTATGTGGAGCGTTTATATCCAGAGCTGATATTATGCCACTGTACAACAATGCATCCTTTCTGGCTCTCTGTGGCCATCATCTGTTCTGCTTGGTCCATTCTGATTGGTCAGTTTCTGTGCCATGCAGGTTGTTAAACACTTTGAATAACACCTCTCCTTATCCCTAAAGTTACTTTATTAAAGAGATTGTACTTTTGGTACTTTTTGTGGTACTTTTTCAATGATATGTTAGAAACAAAACAACGAAGAATAGTTTGTATTGTCTTTTAGTTTGAAAAGAGCATTTGTATCTTAGCATAATGCCATAGGAAAAACTGAAATATATTCAAGAAAATTATTCTGAGTTTCTCTAATCTAATGATTAATTGCATTTAGTTGTAATATATTCCATTTATTATTTCAAATATTTCATGTATCACATAAATAAAATATGTGGTATTGCTACTACTAGGGGCATCAGACTCCTCCTGTACACTGAATTCATGAGATGTGTTTGCAATTTTTGATAAGAAATGGTGACATAACTAAATCCTATTGAGACAAGATATATTTAAGAAATATATAATATATATTACATCTTCTAATTTAAGCAACATTATTTTTTAGTTTATCAGTTACTTAACTTTAAAAAAATTATCACAGGTTTAGATTCCTAGAACACTGAAGTCATATATTTTTATGTAATTTATAATCCTATTCATTATATTTTAAACAAAAGATATTCTTCTCTTTATCTTAATAGTGTCCCAGTAAAACATTTGGTGGATTTGACTCTACAAAAGACCTTCCTGATGAAGTTATAACATTTGCAAGAAGTCATCCAGCCATGTACAATCCAGTGTTTCCTATTAATAATCGTCCAATAATGATCAAAACAGATGTAAATTATCAGTTTACACAAATTGTAGTAGATCGAGTGGATGCAGAAGATGGCCAGTATGATGTCATGTTTATTGGAACAGGTAAAAGTTGTAACTTCAGCTCTAAGTTTTCTTCCAGAACATTGCTTTTAACTGATTAAGTGTACTGAGAACTGAAGGAATTTTTTATAGTCACTCTCAAGGTATAGTTAACCTCTAATAAATGACTAAAAAACCTGAACATTATACCATTACAATGTGTTATCTTTTTAAGTTGACATATATTAATTTAAATAAAATTTCCTTTTCAATCAAAACTTGATAAATGTAATCAGGTAAAGTTAATGATTAGGTGAACAATCAATGTTATTCTGTAATTGAATCATAACTCTTCTGGCCCGTGGCTTTTTAGAACAAAGATGTATTGCTCAAGCCATGCCTAAAATTCCCAAGACATTCAATAATGGTTCTAGAATATATTGATGCAAAATTATCTGAACTTTAAAATTACCATAGGATGCAAATCTTCCAGCAAATAAATTTTGGCAAGAAAATTTGTTCAGTGTTTTCGCCATACAATGAGAAAAAAATAAAACTTCATCAGAAAACAAAAAAAAATGGACCTAGGGAATCATCAGATACATTTTAGATCCATTTCTATAGAAATTTAACAACATATTTTTACTAATTCCGTGATTAGAAACAAACTTTTTGCATGTATATTTTCATAATGAATTCTATTACTATTATGACATATTGTTTTATTTTTCCCCTACTCTCTTTAATAATATTATTTTGAAAGTACCAGTTACAAATCTGAAACTTGCTACTTAGGGTCAGATTCCAAGGTAATAAATTCCTAGTCTCCATTAACGTTGTTAACTGACATAAATCAATGGGAAACAGAGCGAGTGCTCCACTGAAACCTTGTATAATAACATTTATTTTCCCTTGGTGAGAAACAGAGAAAAAAAACTACATTAACTACGGGGGAATGGCGACTGTACAGTAAATGCTTTAAAGACTTAAAGTTTTATAACAAAATTGTCAAATACTTATGTTAGCAGGTATAGCAGTGTCAGGTTCTGAGCAATACATCACAGTCCTCTTTGGTGAGTGAGAAAGTTTCCCTATCAAATAAAAGAATCCCAGTGAGACTCAGAGTTCAATAAAAGTCAATGAATTGCTAGTATCAGCTTTTGGTTATAAATATCTTTAGAAATTATAATAGGATTTCTCTTCAATAAATATTATTGTATCATTTAATGTCAAATTATAATTACATCTCTCTACAGAGTCATTAGGTTTGTTCAATAATGTGACACTTGCCTTTTTCTTCTCCTCTGGCCTAAACATGTTGAGAATTCCCTCACTCATTGTCAATGCAACAAAGGCTTGCTTCCGGCTATTTTACCAAAGAAACCCAATCATGAGTTTTTAATTCCTCTTGGCCACAAGCTATCTTTAAAGGAACCAGTTTCATGAGCATATTGAATGTCTGATGATGTGGACCACTATCGGTCAGCACAGACCAGGGTCATCTGTCAGCAAAGTAAATTGATTACAGTAATTTTATCTTTTAACTAAGTTGCACATCATAGTATATTGATCCTAGTTGAGTAATCTGATTCAATTTGTGTGAAATTGTTTGAAATACTACTCGGTAAAACTTGATCTGGAACACAGATAAAGTTGTTTGGATCCTGGAGACTGATCAGAGGCACTGAGTAGATTAACCTAATTTACCTTTAATCTTTGGTGTTATGAGTAGTCTAAGGTCCTGTAAACACAGAAGGATCCTCTTAAAAGAGGGATTTTTTTTTTTTTTTTTTTTTTTTTTTGCTTTACAAGGGATACACTAGCAACCTTTCTTGATCTCACATAGCACATCATATTGATCTCCTGAAAATGTTTGTCAATGATATGAATATATTGAATTATCTTCCTGGTGTAACTTGTTCTTTACTGGCAAGATGTTCTTCTCAAATAATTAGTCTGTTAAACTTGATTAAAATGAGCCAATTGAAGCTAAAAATAATTGATCAGCTGATCAGAACTAGAATGTTGAGTCAAATTTTTGAGTTTAATAAGGCCTTGTTTTTCATTCTATCAAGGAATAGGAACATGCTGTAAATAGTAGAAAATTGATATCTTCCTAACCCAACTTTGAGTAAAATTGACAGCTCATCATTAGAACAATTTGTCTCTTTTAACAGTGAAAACTAGACTAAACAATGCTTGAAATCTCTATAAAATGTGTTAACAGTTTTTGATTTATGCTTCTGAATTTTAAATTTCTTTAGTACTCTAAAATTGATTAACCAATATGTTAATCAAACTAATATGTTAACCAAAAGTGATTAACCAGTTATTGAAAAACCACTATAATAAGTAATCCAAGGTGTTTATTTTGAGAAATCAGGTTATTGTCATTCATCACTTAATAGTCATTTCGCTGTCTTTAGGGGCCTCTAAGTATTAAAGGCTTTCCGGTGACAGGAGGACAAGCAGCTAGGCTATGAAGCTCTTAACTACTTCTGTTGTTTGACAACATTCCTTGCATTTTGCATCTACATTAAGTCTTCATAGTAGTCCCTGATTTCATAAACAAAAGTGGAAAAACCTGTCATGTCAAACTGGTATTATTTTTAGGGTTTTTTCCTGAGATACCTGACAATTGAGATCAAAAATAATAAAAATAATGAATCCAACCTAAGGATTATATTTTTAATTATGCAGGTTCAGGATAAAACCATCTCCAATGCTTCATATATTTCTAAAAATTCAATTAGTTTTATGCCATGGCTATGTTTATAGTTTATCTAGTTGTATGAAATGCACTTGAATATATATTTTGCTAATGCTGTAATGAAAAAATAAGTTAAAAGGAAGACTGAGATCAAAATCTTCTTTCTGATCAAATACTGTTTCCATTCATTAACAGTAAACTCTGTTTAGATCTATTTAAATTGTGGTCTTCTCCACTTTCTTTCAAAGATGTTGGGACCGTTCTTAAAGTAGTTTCAATTCCTAAGGAGACCTGGCATGATTTAGAAGAAGTTCTGCTGGAAGAAATGACAGTTTTTCGGGTGAGTGCTGCTTAATTTCAAGTGTCAACAAGTTCACTTGTGTGTCTTTCCCCCAGGACAGCTGCACACTGAACTTGGTATGGGCAAGTAGTCTAGCATACCCTTCTAATTAGCTTGTCAATTAGAAAGCCAGACACTAGTCAAAATAAACCTTGGAACTTTCAATGCTAGTTGAATCTAAAAATGTAAAGAAATATATTTTTGGCTCGTATTTTGTTTTCTCAATGATAAAATATATGATTTACATTTTATATTACTTATGTAAGTTACTTCAATGAACAAACTCTGTGCACCTCCCACCCCCAAGATCTCCTCTTTCACACTTTATGGTATAACTGGAAAGATAGGTAGCTTCCATGAATGTATTAAGGGAAATACATTCAGAATGACATGGGAATGAAGACATTTCAACCATTTTTTTTGCTTTTTCCTGAATTGTGTTATCATATTTTCTTAGAGAAATCATTCATTAGCAAAAAATGATTGAGGTTTTTGTATCACTGGTGGCAAATTTGTTATGGATTCCTAGTCTTCATACTTAAGAAATGAACAGATGTTTGTCCATTGTCCTGAACATGGACACGGACGGCCCAGGTAAATTTATATAGCATTGGGGGTAGAGGCAGCCAGGATATGGGGTGAAGTGAGGGAGGAGAACAGAAGTAATACAACATATAACACTTATACCACAATGTCTGTTGTTCCTTTTGGAAAGCCTGCTAATAGGAAGAGTTTGAACTGATGCACACCTTGATATGAATTATTTATGAGATATGAGATAAAAGTAGATGCTTAAAAAAGGTTTACTTCAAATTTTTCTTAAAAGAATAAGGCAAACATATGAGACATTTATAACTGCAAAATAAACTGGACCAGAAGAATTTTGTGGACAGAAAATAAGAAAACGTTGGATCTGGTCCCACAACTTAAAATTATCTCATTTAGTCCCCAGGTGTCAGATACTTCATCTATAAAATGAAGCAGCTGGATTAAATTTTTCAGTTGATTAAATATTTTCATTGTAAGCAGTCCTCCCAAGACTGTTCTTAGTTAGCCCTATATTTCTAGACCAGTTTATTAACCCAGTACAGTTCTTGCTCATTATCAGTAACATTCTGAAGAGAAAATGAAGTACAATATGGGAAGTTCCTAATATATATTCATTCAATTAAAACTATGTGATTCGTATTGAAAAAGATAGCTGGTAAATCACGACATAGACATCTTGTGATAGCAACTAAACAATGCTCCAGTGGAAAGAGTTTAGGCCCTTCAGTCATATCTATATGGCAGTTCTGTTTGGAACACTTATGTGATCCCTCTAAGCTTCCCCATCATTAAAACAGTGAGAATAATAGCTACTTCACAGGGAGGCTGGAAGAATTAGAGACACTATATGTAAAGCATCCAGGATAGTGTTAGGTACTGTGCTCAAAAGTTTATTGATAATATAATTTTACTGTTTCAGTTTAGCTACACTGAAAATAAGCCACATTTCTGGTAGCCTTTTCTACTAACCCTTGGTTTAAGTCTTCAAAATAGTAATATCATCATAATTCTATCATGATTTTTTAAATCAGGTACTTTGGCCTTATTTTATTTATATCTGTTATAGAATGATGACTAATCTCTATCATTCACTGTCTCATTTCAGTATTTACATATTGATAGTTTATCCTACAAATTCAGAAATACAATTATCGGGGCTGGCCCCGTGGCTTGGCAGTTAAGTGCATGCGCTCCGCTGCTGGCGGCCTGGGTTCCAATCCCGGGTGCGCACCGACGCACCACTTCTCCCACCACGCTGAGGCTGCATCCCACATACAGCAACTAGAAGGATGTGCAACTATGACATGCAACTATCTACTGGGGCTTTGGGGGAAAAAAAAAAAAAAAAGGAGGAGGATTGGCAATAGATGTTAGCTCAGAGCCGGTCTTCCTCAGCAAAAAGAGGAGGATTAGCATGGATGTTAGCTCAGGGCTGATCTTCCTCACAAAAAAAAAAAAAAAAAAGAAATACAATTATCCAAATGCACCGTGTTAGCAATATAGAATCCATCTAGGTTTAGCAAACAAATTATGGGCACTGAGGAATGGAGAAATAAATCGCTGTCTTATGTTCATTGTTGTGTATCCAGAGCCTAAAATGTTTTAAACCAACATTTATTAAATGAATGAAAGAGTCAGTATTGATGAAAAAAATGAAATATGAGAAATTAAAGAGTTTAAGGTCTTCCTTAGGGATACCATGCTCAAAGTGAGGTGCCAGAGTATGAGGAAGATAAACTGAGAACAGCAACAAGTTATGCTGATAATTATATCCCATATTATTCTATAGTAGAAAAAAAAATTTACCAATTCTATATCTTTGGAAATTTATATTGTCACCACTGTTGCAAATGAAGTGATAGGAGATACTAAAATATTATGTTAACTTAATAATTTCTTAATTATTTTCAGAATCTCTTATTTTTATATTTGTCATGGTTCCTTTGCATGTTTCCCTTCATTTGTTGTTCATTATTAAAACAAGTTTCATTTATTAAATCAACTGTACACAAACATATATTCTACCTACCATGGTTCTGGCACAATGCTAAGCTCTGGTGATTCAGAGATGAACACTGCAAACAGAGTCCCTGACCTTGCGCAGCTTACAGACTCTTATGTGTTCTCTCTCATAGTTTCAAGGACTTAATTTATTATCTATTAGTACAATTAAGTTTTATCTTGTAGAATTATATCAAGTCATATCATTGCCATTTTAAAAATAAGGTTCTTTTTTTCTATCATTTAATTATTTTCTGGGATTTTATGAATCAGAACATGCATAATTTTGCAGTAATACTCTATTCTAGCTAATTTTCATTCCCCACATCTGGGATTTTAAATTTGCATTTCACATCTTAGCTATTTTCTTTAGTACATTAATAAAAATTTTAGTTTAAAAAGATATTAATTAAAGCTGATCTATTAAATGACTTTTAACAAAATCTTGAGAGGTTGGGAGCTAACAATCTTGCAAGCACAAATATTTAATATCTATTAGAGTTTGTATTTTGCAGTTTCCAGAGAAATACACACTGAATTACACCCATGATAGCTATTGAATGACATTTGTGTGGTTTTTAAGATATCATGAGAAAAGTTCTTTATCAGTCTCTAATAATTAAGCGTAAATAAGTAATATTGTGCTCACATGGAATGATAGTTTATGAGTTTACAATTTTGTAAAAAGATTATTGGCAACCTGGGACACATCTCTTTCCATAATTAAATGTTCCAGTTCTCTTTCATATTCTCTGCTGTGCATTATTGTCATTATTATTCCTTTGGCACTCAAGTAGACAAAATATATTTGGGCAGAGTTTAGAGAAATATTTACTTTCAACATTCTATTCTATCAGGCAAAGTTCATACATTTATTGTGGTCTAGCAATTGGAATATTTCACTGTCAAACTTTGTTTAATTTTGCAGTGGGAGGGAAAAAAACAACACATTAAAGCAAACGCTATATACAGTGAAACAAGCAGAGAAAAATATTACAGTTTCTATATTTCTATTTGAGCCTTGCAAGTCATTCCATTTAACATAAAATAAAATTAAAAAGAGTTAACCTGAGCATTATGCTAGTTTGACAAGGTAAATAGAGAAGGAACAGATTTAGAGTCATGGTCGGCTCTGATACTCCTAGATTTTATAAGGAAAGACATTGAATGTCAACCAACCAGTTAATTTTACCATAATATCATCTCCAGGAGACCATGTTCATTATGTGTCCTTGCTAGGCTGAATAACCAAACCTGGTATAAAATCATGAACTAAAGCCAGTACTATATCCATTGCCTGAGGTTGGTTTTAGGAAAATACCCTGGCTAATCACAGAACATTCCAGTGGTTTCAGTTAAATCCAAGATACTTTTATTCTGGGTAAAATCAAATCCCAATCAGAGTATAGAAAAAAATATTCCTCAATAATAAAAATTTTCATTTTAGAGTAAAATTTTAATAGGTAATAAGAGGTGAAATAAAATTGGCATTGGTATAGGACTCTAGAAATGACTTGGAATTGCCACTGTATATTCAAAACAGTATTCAAGTACTAAGACACAAATTCCAGATATTATTTGTAATCATAATTTGTAATCGTAAATCCATATTTGAATCATATTTATATGTGATTCTGAACAAGATGGTCAGTTGAGCCTCAACTTCTTCATTTCATAAATTTTTAAAGTTTCTTTAAAATTAAAGATTGCTGGTAGATGGTAGCTATTGTTAACTAGTTATACAAATGAAAATCTCTTTTAAAATGCTTGAAAATTCTACGTCTATACTTTGTTAAAAAATATTCAAAAGATATAAAAGCCAGACACATGCTGATTTTTACTTTACTCAGTGTGGGATTTCCTTTCCAGTCCAGTCAAAGAGGGGTTTACTTTTGAGACAGTGGAGTGTTACATCAGGTCACAGTGCATTTAGTACAAGGGGTTTTATTTCTAGTCTTATTGACTGCAAAGGATTGCAAGGCAGTTACATCGGTAACACATGCATTTTAAACCCAATTTATGCAATATTCCATGAACAGCTGAGCAAACAAATGAAAGAGTTTAATTTTCATTCAAATGTAAAACATAATTGATGCTTTCCAAAGCCTAGTCTATTAACTCATTCTAAAGGAGTGTCCACGTGCTTAGCATCCAGGGAGCTATGTCAGATTCTCCTGGGATCAGCAGGTTGAAAAGCTCTGCAAGTGCGAAAGTTTAATAAGGACTAGATTAAAATATCTGACAAAAAAGTAGTAAATTAGAGTCACAGAAAATCTTGAAAAGATGCTAAGTTTTTAATTCCTTTTTTACTTGAACACCAATTAAATTTGCAATTGAAACCAGTTTCATGAAAAAATGCTTATGAAGCTACATCTGTTTTAAATGGAAGTCATATTTGCCATGGGCTATTTCTCAGAAAAAAATATACCTTATTTAAATGAATGTCATCTTAATACATTGTCTATTAAAATTCAACTGCAGGCAGCATATAGCACATTCTATTCCAAACTGTTATTAATTTCCTGGTTCAAAAAATAAATAATCTTCTTTTAATTAAGAGATTCTGGGATCTTAATTTAAGAATGTTGAAATAGTAATATGGCACAATGGAGTTTGGTGTGTATCGGGGTTTGTCTTGTTTTACAATTTATGTATGAAATAATTCATTTTCATCCACCTGATATTTAATTTTTTATACTGTCAATGAACATGAAATGTATGAATATTAATCAGCTTCACTTTTATATAGTTTCACTTAAGTTTTTAAAAAAACTAAGACGTAGCTAACTTTCACTTCAGTTACACTAGCTGTTAATTCTCTAAGAAGCACTTGCCTTGCACCTTGGCTCTAAAATTTATTTCATTAAGTCGGCATGAAGTTAGCTGCTTATATAACCTATAACCATTTCTCATATGAAACAGTTGGCACGGAAGAAGTTGCTATGGAAAATTTTCCTAACTCTTCTAAATTCTGTTTGTGTTCACTGGTTCCAATATTGTACAACCCTAAATACAATAGTCAGCTTTGTCTTTTAAAGCTGAAAATCTGGGATGAATTGTCTCCTTGATTTTTGTGATTTGATGCTACTCAACTCTAAAGATCATATCTCTACATAGGGAACATTGTAGATATTACTTTCATCATAGTTGTCTTTATGATTGATAATTCCTATAGAAAATTATTTTAATATCATTAATTCAAGCTATGAAAATGGGAAACTATGGGAAATCTCTAAATTATCCTGTCAAATTAATTTACCTCCCAAATCATTTGTTTCATTTGTGTCTCAGGCAGGTTGTCTTAAATTAGTCAAGAAAATTCTGTGCTCAGATTAGATGTCAGAGTTTGAAGTGGAAATTTGCAATTCTGCAACACGTAGGGGGTAATTTAAACCACAAGAGTGAATGAGCTCACCAGGAAAAGAATGTAGCATCCAAAAGAGAGTGGAAAGGAGTCGGCTAGGGAAGGCAAACATGTGAGGAATGGCTGGAGGTTGAGAAGACTCTGAAAAAGGCTAAGAATAAATAGTCAATAAAGTGTTCCAAAGCATAATGAAATTTTAATAGAGGAAGCAGTTAAGAAGAAATGAGTGATCAATAGTGCCATATAAAACAAAAAAAGTCCAGTAATAATAATATAGACTGAAAGTGTCTATTCAGCAATACAGTTCATTGGTGATTTCTGCTTCTGAGAATCGTAATCGTAGGCCACCTCTCTGTTATAAGGGCTAGACTCTGTGGGCTGAGGGATGAATGGCACTGAATGGGACATGAACAAATAAAGATAGTGAGTATAGAATATTTAGATTATATTTGGAGAAATTCCAGCTAAGCTTGAAGGATTAATGAAAGACTTTTTTAAAGATGGCTGCCTTTATCTCATACACAAATTAAGAAGAAAGAACAGAATATAATGGGGAAAGTGAGAGATAGGAAAAAAGGGGAAAATTGATAGAGAATTAATTCATTCATTCATTTAACAAATAGTTATTGAGAACTTGTAAATACCAGGAACAGTCCTAGGTGCTAGGGATATGGCAGTGAATGAAACAGCCCAAAATCCCTGTCCTAAATTAGTTGGGGTGGGGGGCAAGGGGATGGAGACAAACAATTAAGGAGACATATGAGATGCCTCTGCTACCCCTCCTCACATCCTATCAGCCTCACCTCTAATTCCCACTGTGTGTCTGTCACTTTCTGCCCCAGGACTTCTCTGCAGCAGGCAAAAGGGCAAGTGAGTGTCACAACTGGGAGTGTGGGAGATTTAATAACATTGTGGGCATCCAATGAGTAATGGAATGAATAAATACTTTTCTTGGTGCAAACCTCAGTGGACAATTTTGAGAATTATTGTCTACTATCTTCAGATTTTCTCTCAGTGGTGACTTCCATGACACATCTTTTTATTGACTTTTCCTCCTTCCTCTCAGTCCTTAGTTTCTCACTCCTGCTCCCTACCTTAGCAGATAAGAGTTTACTTCAGAGTCTGCTTTGGGGTAAGGGGGAAACTCACAAGACACAAGATAAATGCCATATATACATGTATGTATATATGTGTCATATATATACATAAATGTCATATATACATATGTATTTCCAGATAGTGATAACACTAAAGAGAAAAACTAAAGCAAGAAAAGGATATGGGATTGTGTGTGTGTGTGCAGTGAGAGAGAGAATGAGAGAGGAGAGGTTTGAATAAAGACTACATTTCAAGAACATTTGTAAAGTGCTTTACATTTATTAACTCATTTAATCTTCTCAAAAATCCTATCAGGAAAGTACCATCATACTTATTTTTCAGATGAGAAAACTGAATTATGAAGAGGTTACATACCTTGCCTAATATCATACTTCTGGCCAGGTTTGAGTTACTACTTGAATCCATGTAGTTTGGCTCCAGAATCCAACTCTACACTTTCTTCAGGCTCAGCTTTAGCCGCCTATGCAATGAGGCCTTTTAAGATTATTCTTCCCACCTAAGCCTCTTTCTCATAAGCCACCTCTGAAATCCCCAAGCAATCTCCTTCTTAGCGTTGTGTTTGTCATTGGTGAAAATGTAATGGAGCACAGTTCAATGAAAATGAATCTAGGAGAATATAGGCTAATGTGTTCAGGTGAGTACCCTTTTGGTGGTCTAAGTTAATCAAAGAACAGTATTTTTTTACGCAAACTACATGTGTTCATGATAGGCTTCGGTAGAACACCTAACAAAGTATATTGGTGATTATTACTTCCCTAGTTATTACTTCTCTAGATTAGCCTGGTGATAGAAATTGAAGAGATTATGATCTCTGGCAAAGACCTGAAGTGTAGGCCTTTGCACATTAAGCAGTCATTTTAATAATAATAGAGTAATCTCATCCCACTGAGCTCTCACAGCTGGACACTGGCTAATACTATCAGCTCCAGCTCATCATTGATGTCATTAAGAGCTGTTCTGGCGCTCTCAGCTAGGCCACGGTGTCCTCCAGCTGAACATACAAATTTTTGCAGAACACCAACGTCAGATGGGGCCACTCTGAGATTATGATGAATCGAGAAAAAAGCAAGACCATTCTGTAATCAAGTCTGAACACAGACAAGAACGTAAACATTGTCCAAACCATGAAAATGACCAAATATCCCCCTATCCCGCCTATATGAGTGATTGCTCGTTCATTACAAATCACTGCATTTAGCCTCACTCTGTTCTTCCCTCCTTCTAAGTAAGATTTATGAAGAGACCTAATCATAAAATTACCTCTGTTTTTTGACAGCATCCAGTGCAGAGCAAAGCCCCACTTCCTTTGCTTCCTCAAATCACTTAACACGAACCCAAAACATTTAAGTCCTTTCCAACACTCTCCTACTGAGCAATCCCATGGTCTCAATTATTGATATGAGCAATAAACCTAACTTGTTCAACTACAGGTATGTTCCTGATAGTCTTGGGTGGAGGACATTAACATACTCTTATTGTCTGCTCCACACATTCAACACCTAATTATGCAATTTCTTTCATGTGTTTTATTTCCCAATTATATTGCTTCTTGTGGGTACTGAGGTTATCTCTCTGAAAACTTACCTTGGTGTTCTATGTTAATTAATTAATGACTGACTTTTCTAATTGACCAAATAGTTCACCTTTTCTTTTTCTTCTTTAGGAACCAACCACTATTTCAGCAATGGAGCTTTCCACTAAGCAGGTACTATCATTATGTATTACAATCAGCATTCTATATTTTGTTATTTTTTATTTCAAATAGATAAATGTATTTATGGTCCATCAAATTTTACAAATTTATTGGCAATTTTTCAAAAAAACAACAGAAAAGAAAAAATATTCTTATAATAAGCTAGTAGAACGAAAACTAAAGATAATTTTCATTGCTCCCGTATTTTTGACCAATCTCCTATATATCCTATAAATATATTTCTTAGATCATTATTTGTTGTTTCATTTATAGCATTTTTTTTGCTCATTGTAATATAATTTACTCAATGATTTTTCCAACTATGTATCCTTTAAAAATAACATTGGTGGATATTTCAGAATATAAATGTTTATAATTCAATTTAATTTACATGTATAAGCAAAATACATTTTATAGGTTAATAAAATTATGCACCAGACTATTTATGTTTGGAGGATCTTGACTTAAAATGTTAATTTTACTTTTTCAGTAGTATTGTGTGCTAGAGAAAACATTTAGTTTGGCTAAATATAAAAGGAAAACAGCAAAATGATCACTGCCAAATGATAAGTTATTAAACTTCATGAATTCAAAGGTTCAGGGCAGCATGTTAATAATCTTTCCATTCACACTGATTGAATGCTTTGGCAAGACACTTAAGAAACGCAAATGACTTCTATGCTAAATGAAAGGTACAAAACAAATATAATTTTAACTTCTAATAAATTACCTTTTCCCCATAAATGTTACCTAGCCTTTCTATCCAATATGTCAATAGTAACTACAAAAAAAAAAAAAAAAAAAAAGGCTTGGATACTACTGAGTTGAAATTAATTGTTAAATAACCTAGCAGAAAAAGCCAGAATGGAGTAGGCAGCCCCTCACTCAGTGCAGTGAAAACTTATATACACAATTGTTAAATATGAGAACCATTTGGCTAATCTTATTCCTGAATTGTTTACATGCTTCATCTCTGACCATGCATTATCCCTTGTACAAGACACTAAAATACTGTGCCGGTAAAACTCAGCGTATATTCTTTCCACACATACGTATCAAAATAGATTGATAATCTCCAAGATATCTAGAGAAACTTGGTGCAGATATTATAGACCTGATACTATTATCTTACACTTCATAAGTATGTGTTCACCTGTTCTTGTAATTTAAAAACTGTCAAATGTTGGCAAGGAAATTGGGGGATTTCCAGGATGGAAGCTAGACTGGGATATTCTTTCTTGTAGTGATTTCTTAAATTATTTATTCTCTGCTAGGCTTCATTGCCAATCTTAATTACATTATATCTAGTTTTGTAACACATTCCTTTCTGTTTAAAAGTTTTTAAAGCTACTTTAAGAATTGCCTATTAAATGTAAGATATGTCGCCAAAAAACAAACAAAAACAGTTTATCAATTTAAAATACCATGATAGAAGAAAGTGTCCCTAGCTTTCATTTTCCATTACTGGAAGTTTGATTTCATTCATATGTGATTCAATGTCATTCACGCTCATGGAAATTTTAAAAATGAGGCAGTAGTTTCAAGAGGGACAAGCCTTGTTGCAACTAATTTTCTGGATAAATGGACTCATCTCCTGCTTATGACACGCAACTTGTTAAAGAGGGTAGTGAGAAAGCCTGTGGTGATGTTAAATTGGGCAGAAAAAGCACATCAGGTTACTTGCTAGTGACTGACTGGATTATGCTCAATGGTGCCTGCAAGCCTCCCCTATATTTCATTTAGATAGCATAATTAGTTTTGCGAATCATTAATAGTACTGCAGAATAATTATAAAATGAAAACTAGACGTTGAATTGTATTTAAATTTTGGCATTTTATCACACTTTATGTTATCATTATGATAATTTCAGTTGCCATATTTTTGGGTTTCTATTCTTCCCATGTATTATTTTTTCTCCTAAAGGGATATGACAGATCTAGATACTGTTATTTAGGTAATCACAACTCCTTTCCTACTCAAATGTCATATTCTTAAAAATCTATCTGTATGCCTTTCACTCATTCTTCTTAAAAGTTATTGGCCAAACATAGAGATCTTTTGATTAGGTATGACTGATTTGATCAGTAGCTTTTTAAACATGTTGTTATGACCACAATATATGGATAGGCATGTCCATATTCACCAATAACAATGATGCCTCTGGATATTGCTACCCCATTTTAGCTAATTTAATTGTTGTTTAAATATTATGTGTTTGTTTCAATTTTGTCACATTGAAATGGCTTGACTTCAATATAATCTAAGTTTACTTTTTAAAAAATATGCTTTTGGAATAGAGAAATAAAGGATAAGAGGGAAAAAAAGAAGTTCCTGCCATTAGTTAAGTTTTTTGTTAATATTTTTCAAATCATGCTTGACCGTTACCACATGCTGGTTCTGTAGATGCTTTAAGAGAGGTACAAATCAATATGATTTTCTCTCAACAATACCTTAGCAATATTCATCTTTTCCTCCCAGGGACTTGAGCTATCATTTCTTAATTTGCTGTGGTTTGTAGCATCTTTCAATATAATAATAAAAGATAAATATAGTAAAAAGTTGAGTATTTGTACTACATACTATATTCTATATACTATACTAGAATATTATATACTGTAAATATTCTTCATTTACTGGAATGGAATAAGCAATATTTATCAGGATAACTGCTTCCACAATGCTTTAGCTTTTATCGTATTACTTCTTCTGCCTTATATCCCTTCTTGTATTAAGATATAAGTAAGTTGGTTAGCTTTAAGCACAGAATTGTTTTCTTTGTAAGCACTCTTTATAACCTTAATAATTACTTAGATTCTAATTGATATTTCAGTCTTCATTCAGCTTATCTGTTTATTTATATGTGTAGTCCATCTTTGAAAGTCTTTTGGAAATGCAATTTTAATTCTATCCATTGCTGACTGTCAGGCGATTTGTAATATTAAAAGAGCACACCATGGTTCAGAGACTGGCTTTTCTGTAACTTATTTTTCATAAGAGAAATTAAAATACACTTTTGAAGTCTTTTCCATGTGTATTATTACATGTTTCTGTATTTACACAACTTTTATTTAAGGCTTACTATAATTATTCAATCCTTTAGTGCAAGAAAAGTGAGCTATGACACCAATTACAGTAAAATGTGGAAAAAATCACAAAGTAATTTTATTTGTATTTCATTTTTTGTTTACATAAATTTGCAACTAATATGCTACATTTTCTCAACTTTGTTAAAGGCGTTTTTCAAATTGTACTGAAATCCTGAATTAGTTGCTACTAGAAAATTTTTTTCCCCATATTCTGCCTCATTCAATAACTCCAAATTCATTGATGATGATGGCATTGTAGTTCATTTTATCTGGATATATACTTTAAAGATCTAGTTAAACATGCTCATTTTATGGGTAAGGAAGTTAAGTCTTAGAAAAATTATGTGAATGGCTCAAGATCACACAGAGAGTTAATGTAGGGCAAGACCTAGAATCCAGAACCTCAGTGCCCAATACAGCACTTTTTCCTCAACACTGGAGCTTTTCGTTCAGATCTACTGCACCAGCCAGCATGTACTTGATTCCCCTCTTTGATGATCTTTCGAAGGAAAAGTAATTTAGTAGTTTTGTTTAAAGTAATCTTCCTGGAGGTAGTGCAAGAACGAGACAGTTGGTGCTGAGCAAAACTTCTTATACATGCAAAAGCACCAAAACTTCACCCTTTCCCTTCTTATAGGAGGCAAACTCGTTCACAGGCAGTAGAATAGGGCGCCCAAGAGTCAGAAGCACATGATCCCTGCCTCATGACCAAGCAGAATACATGGCAATGTAGATAATCTGAGAAATCAAAGTTATAAACAGTAGAAGTAAAAAAAGCAAGCTATCGAAGAGCAAAAACTGAAGGTTTGAACATTATATTGCTCAGTGTCTTACTTTTTTAAAAAATTTATTTTTATTGAGGTATAATTGACATATAACTATTACCGTCTTCCTTTATTTTCCCTTGGTTTTAAAAGACACCTGTTTCAGTCAAATATTTAGGTTTTGATCTTGCTCTATTTTATTATTTTTTTTTAATTTATTTTATTTTTAATTAATTTATTTATTTTTATTTTTTTCCCCCCAAAGCCCCAGTAGACAGTTGTATGTCATAGCTGCACATCCTTCTAGTTGCTGTATGTGGGACACGGCCCCAGCATGGCCGGAGAAGCGGTGCGTCGGTGCGAGCCCAGGATCTGAACCCCGGGCCGCCAGTAGAGGAGCGTGCACACTTAACCGCTAAGCCACGGGCCGGCCCGGTCTTGCTCTATTTTAAATGGTCACATTGTCTGCCAGGCCTTTGAAGAAACTACCAATAATGTGATTATTTTAAGACTACAAATACAAATTTATTTTTGATAAGTTATGTATAAATAATTGTTTTTTAAGAAAAAAGAGATTTGAAAAACAAGATAGCTTTGGTCATAACAGTAAATTCTTTCCACAGCAACAACTATACGTCGGCTCCACGGCAGGGGTAGCCCAGCTCCCTCTCCACCGCTGTGACATTTACGGGAAGGCCTGTGCGGAGTGCTGCCTCGCCCGAGACCCTTACTGTGCCTGGGACGGCTCTTCATGCTCTCGCTATTTTCCTACTGCAAAGAGGTAGGAGAAGTATTAGAAATAAATACAAATATTGGCTATTTATCTTACCTGATTCCATTTTTGGAACAGCTTTCTTCATCACCTTTTTCTAATGAATAAGTGGTTTTAGGGGGTTTTGTTTCATTTCTTTCCCTTAAATAGTCAAAACAATCAGAAAAACATAATAGGGTAGTTGGGTACTAAATGTAATGGAACAAATGGTTTTAATAAATTACTGAGGGAGATCTGAAACATCACAGTAATATCCTTGAACGTTTACTCTTCGAAATCATGAAGTTTTGCAACTTCATTTTACACAAAGGGAAACTGAAGGCCAAAGCCACAGAGAAAGTCAGGATCAGAATCTAGACTGGGCCTTGTGCCTTTTTACCAAAATGCTCTTTTGTCCAAAAATGCTCTTCTTTTTCTATCCAGCAACATTCTATCCTGGTTTTAAATTTTAATGAGGCAATTTGTGTCCCTGCATGAATGCAAAATTCTCAGAGAAATGAATTTATTTACCTTTAGAGTCTTAGAGAGTACACAGGGACCCAATTATAAACAATCAAGAATTTTTTCTAGTTTTGAAGGTATCACATTTCTGTACGTGATATATATAATTTTGATTAACTAGCATCAAAATATATCTTTATTGGATCCAGAAATTTTAATGCCACTATACTATCATAGTATCATCTTGCATTTGCAGTGTTTGAACTTGAAATATAAAACCATGTAATAAATATCTATTTATTAATCCATATATATGTATTTTATAACTATTTTAAGTATACTCTTGATAATGCTTAAAAGTATTTTTTTGGACATACTTTAATAAAAGTTGCTAAGATATACCTAGAAATTTATCTAAAACAATATAAAAAACATAACTAAGTTATTGTCTAGGAGATTGAAAGCTTTAGAAACGGACATTTGATCATTCAACGTAGTATTATATTCAGAAGGTGTAGTAGTGGTTCAGAGAACTCTTAAACACATCCTAAAAGTTGTACACAAACAAAAGTAAACTAAACTTTTGCTTTAAAAAATAAAAACACTTACTTCATTTGACAAAATAGTCATCTCAACATATTCTCTGCTTCTCACTTATGGCTACCTTTCTCTGTGGATATTTACCAGTGTTTAGGAAATGAGCAATGATAAATGAAAGTAATATACAATATCTTGCTAATATAAACCTAAAGATTAACGGTATGCACATCAACCTATTGAAACATAAAATAGAAATCAGCATTATTAAGCCACTGCATTTTAGGAGCAATAAAATTTATTTTGTTAGTTTTTTATTATAGCTAATATTTTCAAAGAAGCTATGAACATGGATTTTTTTCATTGCTAGTGAAGTGTGTTCTACACCTTTAGATTATTTTAAATGTTTGGAAAAATATTAGGGGAAAGAAATAACCTGAATGTCTACTTAAATCTTTTGATCACACAATTTAGATAACATTGACCATAGTGTTAAATCATCTACAACTTAAATCTATCATATATTCAGTCCATATGGACTAAAACATGGTATCTTGTTAATAATAATATTAAATGTAAATGTAGCATTAGCTCATACCATTTAATAAATACTCACAATTTTCTTAAGCCTGCAACATTTAGAATTGAGATAACATGTTTGTATTACTTTCGTATACCTATTGATTTTGTTGGAAATTTAAATTTAAGATAAAACCTTTGTGTAGAGATAGTGTGTTATTGATTAAAGAAACCATGGATAGTTTAATAAACAGCAATATGCAGTTTTTACAGCAAGAAAATTAAATTATTTAAGATTAAAATTTTATGATTCTTAAATTCATTTAGCTCTACGGGACTTTTAATGTTACTCAAAAAATGAAGAATTAATGTTTGAACTAAAAACAAGTATTTCCTTTCCATGTGAAAGTGTATAACATTACTTAATTTAGGAATAATCCATTTGAATTTTAAGCTTTTCTTCAAAAGAAAGAAGATAAAAATAAGATCATAATATATCTGTAATAAATTAAAAAGCTGTATATGATTATACATTTGAAATGTATTTATTGCATACCTACAATCCAAGATTGAAGGAATTAGCATTAACACGTTTTTGTTGTGCCTTACAGATTTCACTTAATCCAATTTCATTTGTCTTTGAAAAGGATGATTAGAGGCCTCGCAATTTATATATTCTTTGTGATGGCATTTTTCAAAAGCTTAAATGGAAGTAAAAAATGCCTTCCCAAATGCTATGTGGTTCGTGTTTCACAAGTTCCCTTGTTGGCTAAATTTTGAAATGTGCAACATCTGTTTGATGGTCTCACCAAATCTACAAATAGAAATCTATAAATACTTTGGACTTCTAAATTTATGAATACAGTAACAAATTCCATATTTGCAATTCTCAGTGGCCTTTGTGAGAGCTCTTTTCGGGGATGGTAACTAACTTTGCACCGAGACAATACCCATTAAAATAGATGCAAAAAACAGTTGGGCAAGTGTTCCCAATCTTTTCCAGTCTGATACACATAACCAATCTCCAATTTTAGCTTCTCTTTCAAACTACACATATTTTTTGTGCCACAATGGCTGGAACCAACCTCCTCCTTCCCTGTCAACCATTAGCAAAGTGTAGAGAGAGGACGCCCAGAATGTACTGCAACTAATATGATCTAAAATTAAAAACTAACTTAAAAAATAGATTCCTGTCTTAATACTTTTAAATTTAACAAAAGTCTACTTAAGGGATGATGTATAAGTATTAAGAGAAAGAGAACATTCATGTGGATTTTAATTTTCAAGCTTAGTCCTTCATTAGTGATCAGAGAAAATGTTTAATTCTATTTATTGAAGTAATGGGTTACTATTCTATATTTAGTGTTTTTTCCTCAGAATTTAAGATGTTGAGAATTTTAGAGTTTCTATATGTTAGATTCTTATTCATTGACATCCAGTAGCAAAAAAACATGAATTTTCTGTTATCAATACTTTAAAAGACTTGTAATGCATCATTAGTACATTTGTCTACTGGTTCCCATTTTGATCATCTTGAAGACTGCTTTTACAGGTATAATGAGCTGCTTTTAAAAAATCTTTTAGTCAAATGCAGATGCATCTCTTTCTGTAAGCTCTTGGAGTCTTTGATTTTTGATTCTTCTTAACTCTTGTGACAAATTCCCAAGAGAGAATAGAGAGACAATAATACCTTTTAAATGTAATTATTTTAGACGCACAAGACGACAAGATATAAGAAATGGAGACCCACTTACTCATTGTTCAGACTTACAACACCATGGTAAGTTACAACAGTTTTCATCTTGTAACCTGCTAATAGCAGAATGAAATCATAAGAAATAATGCATATCCACACATATGCATGTAGGGCACCCACCTCTCCCAGAACACTTAAAGGAATGCAACTGAAGAGACAGAAAATCTAGGAGAAAGAAAATTCTAAAAAACATAAAGCACTGAATTCTGTTTCATTATTGTAGATAAGGTAAGTTCAAGATTTTAGACCCTTACGAGACTTAAAGCTCAATTTTCTCATATTAACAAAAAGAAGGTTTAAGCAACCTGAGTGGTAGGCAACAAAAATACTCATTTAAATATATCAAAGAAGAAAATGTGGTCTTAAAATAAGCCATGCAAATCATTCATTAATATGCTGATGATATAGACCCAATGTATTGTTATTGGGTATCCTAGTCAAGTAGAAGATAATTCAGATCTCTTCACACTGATTTACTAGTAGGATGTCCTCTTGAACTGAGGATTTTGGAGCAAGTTCATTTTATGCTTCTTAAAACATGTCAAGGCCTATTTAATGTCAAGTTGCTTGTTTAATGCTGCAATATCAACCAATCTTCATTTAAAATGTGGTAAATATCTCACTCCCCCTACTTTAACCCTTTACAAAAACAATAATGAGGCTGTGCTTCCCTCTACTGGGGAAACTTATCAATGACATGACTGCTAATGAACATTCATAGTTAAAAATGGCTAAAATGTCAAATGTAAAACATTTGACATGTAATTGAACGTAATTATCCTATTAACTTTTTTTGGTACCTTTTACATTAATCCTAAAAGAAGATCTAATATTTTTGTCAATTAACTTGGGTTTGATCTACTAATTCTGTGGGTAGAATGTTCTTGTTTCATAAATGTTACGAAAGAAAACGCACTGCACAAACCCGGCGTGCATTCAAAAACCCAGCTACCTCTCTGAAAGTCAGATCCCCCTGCTGTGTATCCTGTACGTGCGGGTGTCTGATTCATGAGTGAATTCACAGGGTTGTTTGGGGGATGCCAATACCAGAAGACAGGTAGCCACCAATTGAGCCTATATTTTGGATCCATTTTTGCTTGCAAAATTTTCTTGCCAAGGACTTTCCTGTCTGTTATTGTTCTCATTATGAAGAAAAAAGATGTCACTAAATTGAAGCAAATGTTATCAGTTTTTTTGTTTGTATAGATATAGCGCATTATTGACACACACTTCTTAAATTTTTCAAATTGCATATTTCAATTGGACAATAAAACATTCGCTAGTCTTCCTTTAATCTATTTCATGTAAAAATATTGAGTTTTGATCAGCACTGTTTAAGCAATGCAGGATTATGAAATAATAGTTCATTATAAAGAATCTACTTGCTTAGATATGGAGAAGCTAATGATAATATCTAGCAGTAAAAGAAACAAGACGATGTAACTAGAGCTCATTTCCAATCAAACTTTAATCTCCATATCAATATGGACCTTGTTATTTCGCTTACTCTTATATCTCTAGGGCTGTAATAGATGCCATATCATGAATAGTGTAGATATTTAATGAATATTTGTTGAATGAATAATCTAATATTTCAAGCTATAGCATAGATACTGTTTTTGTTTTTCCGTAGAGATTTGAGCTAAGTAGCATCTATTATTTATTGTGAAAATTATTTAAGTCATACATTGTTGTTATTAACACCATCATATTCAGAAATAGAATATCTCTTAAACAAGTCATCAACCAATTAACTAATAATTATTATACACCTCTATATGTAGGATACTATGCTATGTTTTGAAGACTGCTAGAGAACTATATATATATTACTGATATATATATCTCACTAGTATATCTATATATCTGTATATATATATCTTTATATGTATCTTACCGATACCTTAATTTGTTTAGCAATCCAGTCCCTTCATAGACTCAATATTTTTCCAAAATGATATATATGCTAGAATTATGAGTGTTCATATATGCAAGGAAAAGCTGACCAAAGGCATTTTTATTTTTTAAAAAGAGTGAGACTTGGGATAAATAAATATTGTTGACTATTGAATGAATGGGCTTTGGAGAGTGCTTCAGTTGTGTTTTGATTAAATTAGGGTGGTGAAAGCCTGTAAAAATTGGGAATGTAGAATTGCTTAGCTATAGAAAATAAAATGAACGTGAATCAGTTTTTCTCCTGATTCTTCAATCAGAGTGCATGCTGTAGGGAGGAAAGGCAATTGCTGTGGTTCCATGTTACAGGTCTTTTTTTTGAGGACGGAGTGGATAAACAACTCTAAGCAGATGCTTATGATATATGGGAGGAGATGGTAAAATAGTCCCAGAAGCTCTGCAGCAATAAAACATTCCTTTTTTGAAGGCCTCTTTACTCCTTGTCTGCTTGTATTGCTAATTGACCAAACATAAAAAATATACACCATAGTTTACAGTAAATTTCAAATGTTTGGCAACTAAGTCAGGCATTCCCAAATGGCCAGGCTGAGTCTTACCATTAGGAATCAGTGAAATATCTTGGAATAGGTGATGTCAGTATTTGAAAGTAAAATGGCAAAAATCCAGAGCCCAGCCCTGTTAAATCATATATGTTGTCTTGCTAATGTCACATTTCACATTCAATAAAATATATGTGCTCACATGGAAACATATAAAGATACGAGATGTTTTCACAGAAAGCTGCTAAGCAACCTAAAGCCAAATTACACACTTCAGGATGATCAGTTCCAGCTGTAACGGTAAACATATTCTGGAACACTCTATATTTTACATATCCTGAAGTTTTAATAGAGAGACTATACAAAATAACGCAGAATTAAGGTGGAAGAAATTTCACTCTCAGTGACACCTTTAACACTTACTCAGCGCTCTGTTCCATCTCATGTAAAAACAGCACTAATGTTGAAATGGCCTAGGTGAAACAGAAAAATCTGAGTCCACTTCCCCTTGGTCCAGCATACTCTCCTCCATCGCTGGTGGCTGTTCACATAGGGAAATTTTAGTATAAAACCCTAAATATATATGTGCCGGCAGATCTTCTTGTCTTCCCACTCATACCTCATACTGAATGCTAAAGAGAAACCTCAGGTTGTTTCCAATATGTTCTCTTCCCTAAAATAACTGTTGTGCACACAATTGGAGCTTGTCTGACTTTGCATTCAAGAGCATTAGTTGCTGAGTCAATTTACCTTTAAACTACCTCCCATTTCCTCTTCTTTACTAAACAAGAATGAGCCGCACTATGATCTACATGTCCAGAAAGGAAAAAGCTATACCATAAGTAACAACATTTTTAAAAAATTAACGTCATCTTAGATTTTTTAATCTGTGAAATATTTTATGTCCTAACTTCCAGTTTAATGCCATCACTGAGTTTCACTTCATAATAGTTCTCTTGGCTCTTCTACATACATGCATTTTCTTTTTAGCTTCCCACAGTACAACTCTACAGAATTCAGTCTTCTTAATTATCTCCATGACTAGCTCATCTCAATTTATGTCTTGGTTGGCATCAAAATCATTCCAAAATTTCATAAGATATCTTTGGCAGTGTCATCTTGATGGTCTGCAGAGCTATAAATTTAGTATTTTGTAGCAATGCTAATCTGGTCTGTGCTTTACCTTCTTTCATATACATATAAAATCTAACTATGAATCTGAGCATTTAGCCCCAAGAGAAGCCTCAAGATTTGGTAGATGAGCATGATGTCAGCCTTAAAAAAATCCCTAACTTTAATAAATTGATAAATTGTATCAAGTCTAAGATGTCACTGAATGTAAGATGCACCATTATTTTATGTACTGCTGAGAAAGAAAAACTGCCCAAGATGAACGATCTAATAGATGGTCCCAGCATCAAGCCAGGACACAATATGTTTCAGCATTAGTGCAAAGGAGAAATAAACTCCCATGCAGAAGAAGATAGCAAGGAAATTTGCCTGTTCTGACCATAATCATGGATGGTGGAAAAGGGGGAAAGAGCAGTCTTTGAACTACAAGATGGTACTCATGAAGCTTTACTTTCTGAATTCACACCAACAGGGTGGACCAAAAACCTTAGACAGAGATATTAACTTAAAAAGGTATTAGAGTAGTAGGATCTCATGTGTCTGGCAGAAGTAAGAACTAATTCTTTCCGGGAAACAGCAACTTCAATTCAGTTGAAAAGCAACTGTAAGACATATTCTGATATCAGAGTTAAAATATAAAGAAGTGTGCATCCTAGAATGAAATTATTAAAGTATTATTTTCTATAATTTTTGTAAACTTTTTTTGAAACTGTTTTCACTGGAGATAATCAATCATCACGAAAGTCATCTTCTGCTATTACCTTAGGCAAATAATTCAATTATTCATAGTATATGTGTATGTGTGCAAGACATTCACAACATATTTCTAGCCAAATGATGGCTATCACATGAATAAGAAGTTTGAAAATTTTTGCACTATCATTGTTCCTTGTTAAAGTTTTTAAATATGTCATTGGAGATCACCCAACTGTTTATACACCTATAATTTAACTGTTGTAAACGGAAAGTTTTTAAGCATGCTATATGTTTTTAAATTCCGAAATTTATAAGGAACACATATTAAAATACAAGATGGTATTTTCATTATTGTTTATGGAAGGTTTCTACTTCAGCAAATAGGTATTTTCCATTATCTCCTATCATATCTCTTGGGATAAAGTAAATTTAACATTAAAGTCCATGTTTCCTGATTTTTACATGTAAAAGTTACTATGGTCATTTTACTCTGGCATATAGGTTATATGTGCTTTCTTGGTAAAATATTTGCTATAAAATCATGAAAATAAAACATTTCAAATGTTCAATATAGACTAAATAAATAGTATAGCGGATATCTTCATATTGTTACTGCTTTTTTAAGTAATTGAATTTCAGCTGCTCTATACTAAGAAGCATTGCAGCCTCTGATATCACAAGATATTAAGCACAGTATTACATATAACTATTAAAATGGCTTCATAGTCAACTTCATAACACATC